TTATTATTTTCCTCAGAGAGACAAGGGAATATATTGTAACTGTGAAACAAGAGCATACTACCAAAAAAAGCACTCAGAACTAAAAAGAGTACTTGGAAATTAAAAGTGTGACACTAGAAATGAAAAATTCATGGAAGAGTTGGAGGATAAGGTTGAGAAAATATCCCAGAAAGGAGGTAGAATTAGGAAAGAAAAGATGAGACAATCATGGGACCAGTCCAGGAGACCCAACACCAAAATAATGGGAGTTTCAGAAAGAGAGAAATGAGAATAGAAAGAAAAGAAAATCATCAAGGAAATAATGAAAGAAAATTTCTCAAAACAAAAGAACGTGAGTTGCCCTATTGATGGGTCCACGGAATGCCCAGAACAGTGAAAGAAAATAGATTCACATCAAGTAACCTCACAGTTAAATTTCAGAACATTGAGATTAATGTTCCAGAGAGGAGGGAAAAGTTATGTATGAACATCAGGAATCAAAATGACTTTGGACTTCTAAACACCACGCGGGAAGCTAAAAAACAATGGAGCAATGTCACCAAAAATTTGAAGGAAAATGATTTCAAACTAGAATTTGATACTCAGCCAGACTATCAATCAAGTGTGAAGGTTGAAAAAGGCATATCAGACACGCAAATCTCAAAAAATTTATCTTCCATGCACCCATCTCAGAAAGCTACTAGAGGATGCACTCCACCAAAATGAGGGAGTTAACCAAGAAAGAGGAAGACACAGATATAGAAAACAGGAGATTCAACATAGAAAAGAAAGGATTTCCCAGGACAATGGTGAAGGGGGATCCTAGGAAGAGAGCTGTCCAACAAGCAGAGAGGGAAACTGGTACATACTACAGCAGGTCATGGTGCTCTGGGAAAGACTTTTTTTGGGAAAAAGCGAAACGGATAGACTACCTTATATATCTGAACGTTTGAAAAGAGATTTAGAAACTAATGAAGAGCTAGGGAGTAATTGGCAAAGAGTCCATATAAAACTAAGCAAATGCAACTATTAACTATAAGCAAAACAAACTGTTGTTTAGGAAAGGAAATGTAATCATAGTTTACTACATGAATGAGCTGCAAATCTGTGGGTACCATTTGTATAGAGAAGCATAATAAAGTTTTTTTGTTTGGTTGGCTTTGTTTTTTGTTTTTTTTACATTTTAATCTCATATAAATTGCTGACAATAGACACACAGATGGCAGCTGGAGCTGAGTGCACTCAACAGGCAGACAGGGAAGGTAATAACTTAGGGGGAAGTATGAGAGGAGGTGCCTGTTCTTTCCCTGCAGCCTGGATCCTTAGCGAGAGGGAGATGTCTGCCCAGGAGGTGGGGCCCAGCACAGCCCGCTGTACCTGAGGGTTTGGGAAGTAAATTAGTGTCTCAGAGGCTGGGCACTCAGTCCAATACTGCTGTGTCCTCCCACAGGGAGCTGAGGAGGGGATCCTAGGTCCTCACTTCTAGAGCCAGACTACTTGGATTTAAATCCCAGATCTTCCACTTATTAGCTTTGTGGTCTTGGGCAAGTTACTTGACTTCTGTGTGGCCTGGTAGCCTCATCTGTGCAATGAAATAACAATAATAGGATTATCATGGGAATTAAATAAATTAATACATCTAATGTGCTTAGAACTGTGTATGACACAGAGTAAATGCTATAGAAGGGCTAGCTCTTATTATTACATGAACAATTATGTAAACATTGCTTATCAATCTCACCAAAATTATAGTATAACCATATTGGGAGGCCGAAGTAGTGGAAAGAAAGGGTACACATGTATATGGGAGGCTAAGGGGAGAGTTGGATTTCCATTTTCTGTAGTGGAAAATGAGTAGATAACGTCTAAAAGTAAAAAGTCAAAAAAGTAGCAATACAAGCTTATTACTTGGAGGTATGGAAATAAATGCCAAAATAATCAGCTAAAATTGGTGAAAGTGGTTTCTTCTGGGGAGGGAGAAACCCTCAGAGGGAGCATAGGTAGCTGTTCTTTGTAATAAATTTTTGTAACAAATTCTATGAGACTGTATGACTTTATAAAAACCAAAACTAAAAGTGTTAATTGTGTAACTAGTTATTTAATGTCCACCTCCCCCGCTAGAAGGCAAGCTCCCAGGAGGCATAGCCTTGGTCTGGTCTGCTTTCCTCTGTATCCCGGCCCCCTGGCAAGGCCAGCACCTGAAGGTGTGTGTTAAGCCTTTGTAGAAGGAAATCTTTAAGGGCATGTGTGCTTTGGAAAGACTTCCTGCATTGACTAGCAGTTTGGAGGAGATAATTTCTGATGTCCCTGCCAGTTCTATGATTCTAATCTACCTTCCTTCTCATCTCAATTTCTCTTAACCCTCTTACTGCAGTCCAAATTCTTGTCTTTCTTTTATGCCTAAATTTTCAAATGAATGGTCAGTTCCCATTGGCTCCATTGTTTCATGAATCTCCTTGGCAACCAGGAACCTTCCTCTCTCATTATTTTTCTGAAACTGCTCTCCTAGGTCAGAGAATTCTTTCTCGTCAAGCTCGTGTCCTTTCTCAGTCGTTCTCTACCTCTTGCATCATCTAACATGACAGAGGGCTTCTTTTTCTTTTTCTTTCTTTCTTTCTTTTTTTTGAGGAAGATTGGTCCTGAGCTAACATTTGTTGCCAATCTTCTTTTTCTTTTTTCTCTCCAAAGCCCCAGTACATAGCTGTATATCTTAGTTGTAGGTCCTTCTGGTTCTTCTATGTGGGACGCCACCTCAGCAGGGCTTGATGAACGGTGAGTAGGTCGGCACCCGGGATCCCAATAGGCGATCCACAGGCGGCCGAAGCAGAACTCGTGAACTTAGCAGATACACCACAAGGCCAGCCCCAAGGGCTTCCTTTTCTTGAAGTTCTTTCCTGTGGGTCTCTCCCAACCTTTCCATCTATTCCTTCCATGGCTTTTTCTGGCCTCCTGTCCAAGACTGTGTGTGTCTCAAGCCTTCCTCATCCGCTTTTCTGTTATTCTTTCTTCTGTGAACTGATCCTTTCTCATGGCTCTAGCATCAACTTTGATCTGATGATTCAATCTCTGCTAGACTGCCGCTTGTGTATTTCTAGCCAGAGGACTCCCTCATTTGTATGACCCACAGTTACCTCCAAGTCCAATTTTAAACTCCTCAAGGAATGAGGAGACTGATTTAGGTGAATGAGTGGTCCATAATAACGGCAGCTAGTATTTTCTGTTCAGGTCTGTTCCTGGCTTGGTCACTTTCCTACTCAACAGAGCTTCCTCAGATTAGCACAGACAGACTATATTTGACCAGTTAAGAGACTTTAAATAAGAGAAGTTCTTAATTTTTTAAGTCTTAGTCTCTTCATTTGTAGATTATTTCATTTGCACAAGTGTTTTCCAGCTTTAAAAGAAAAAGCTTGGAATTCATTGTTAAATAGGTCAAATCATGGGCAAAAGTCTTGGAATGCAACACCAGCTTTTAATTTGGCCCAAATTTTCCCATCCAACATCATCTATGCTTCTTAGCATGAGCATAGAAGATGATATGGCTATATGATTAAGAATCTGAGCTGGAGAGCCATTATTTACTGTCTCCATTATTTACTGTCTGTAGGAACTTGAGCAAATGGGTCAGCTCCTCTGCACTTCAGTTTCTTTGTCTATAAAATAAGGCTAATAATAGCACCTACCTCATTGGATTATTGTGACAGTTAAATGAACTAATGCATATAAAGTTGTTAGAGGGCCGGCCCCGTGGCTTAGCGGTTAAGTGTTCGCGCTCCGCTGCTGGCGGCCCGGGTTCAGATCCCGGGCGTGCACCAACACACCGCTTCTCCGGCCATGCTGAGGCCGTGTCCCACATACAGCAACTAGAAGGATGTGCAGCTATGACACGCAACTATCTACTGGGGCTTTGGGGGGAAAAAATAAATAAATAAAATCTTTAAAAAAAAAAAAAAAAAAAGAAGCCAGTCACAAAAGACCACTATTCTATGATACCATTTATATGAAACGTCCAGATCAGGCAAATCTATAGAGACAGAAAGTAGATTAGTGGTTGCCTAGGACTGAGGAGTAGGAGGTGGGAGGAAACAGGGAGTGAGTGTTAACGGGTACAAATTTTCTTTTTGGGATGATGAGAATGTTCTGGATCTAGATAATGATGATAATTGCATGACTCTATAAATATACTAAAAATCATTGGATTGTATACTTTAAACAGGTGAACTTTATGAAATGCAAATTATATCTCAATAATGTTGTTTAGAAAATAGTAAAGAGATTTCCTGTATACTCTTCACCCACTTAAGAATTTCTTTTCTTTTCTTTTTTTTTTTTTTTTGTGAGGAAGATCAGCCCTGAGCTCATCCATGCCAATCCTTCTCCTTTTGCTGAGGAAGACCGGCCCTCAGCTAACATCTGTTGCCAATCCTCCTCCTTTTTTTTCTTCCCTTTTTCTCCCCAAAGCTCCGGCAGATAGTTGTATGTCATAGTTGCACATCCTTCTAGTTGCTGTATGTGGGACGCCCCTCAGCATGGCCAGACAAGCGAGCGTCGGTGCGCGCCTGGGATCCAAACCTGGGCTGCCAGTAGCAGAGTGCGTGCACTCAACCGCTAAGCCAGGGGCTGGCCCAAGAATTTCTTACATGACAATAGTAGGACAATAAAAACCAGAAAAATGACATTGGTACAATACTATTAAGGAAGCTATAGAGAATATTAAGATTTTACCAGAGTTTATAACAATATCTGGCACATAGTGAAGCTTACGCAGGTGGTAAGGACTTCACTACAATGACGATGATGAACATAATGATGATAATGTACATAATAATGATGATGCTGGACTTTCTACTGTAGCCAGATTGATCAGCTGCTGTTTCAGAGCATGCCATGTTCGTTTCTCTTTCTAAACTCTAACTGTAGCAGTTTCCACCACCTGGGATTCTTTTTTCCTTACTCTTTCCTTATCCCATCAAATCCTTCACATCCACGCATCTCCACCAAATCTTTTTTTTTTTTTTTGTGAGGAAGATCAGCCCTGAGCTAACATCCATGCTCATCCTCCTCTTTTTGCTGAGGAAGACCAGCTCTGAGCTAACATCTGTTGCCAATCCTGCTCCTTTTTTTTCCCCAAAGCCCCAGTAGATAGTTGTATGTCACAGTTGCACATCTTTCTAGTGGCTGTATGTGGCCTCAGCATGGCCGGAGAAGTGGTGCGTCGGGTGCGCATCTGGGATCCGAACCCAGGGCCACCAGTAGCGGAGCACATGCAATTAACCGCTAAGCCATGGGGCCGGCCCTCCATCAAATCTTTAAAAGGCAAAAGATTTATTCCATCTGAAGAGAAACAGACGCATCATCAAATCTTTAATAATGCTCCTCTCCCTTCTTTGAGCTGTAGAAACCTCCATACTAGCCAGCACTTGCCTGGACTCTCCTTTGCATTTTCCTCTAGTTATTTCACCTATGAATCCTGAATTCCCAACTAAACTGAGAGGCTATATGGGTTTCATTTCCTCTGCACCTTCCACAATAAACTTGGTGTGAATTCAAAAAAATTTATCCTTAAATTAGATTCAAAGTTGTTACCAAAGGATGGAGCAAGAGGGAAAACAAGGATGGCAGGAGATGGAGAGCAATTCAGGCAGTAAGACAGGCAGAGCCTGAGGGAGTCAAGAAGCATTTATAGGGTGTCTACTATACACTCCATAGTGTAATCATTGCCAGAGAGAGAAAAGAGGAACGGAGAAGGAGAGGAAAAAGACACCCAGCAATGTTGTTCCCCAAGGCCTCTTTTATTTTTCTAGGTTCATTGACTAACTCTTCCTTGACTTCGCAGGCAGGATTAAAATGCTCTGCCCCTGAACCCCTGTACAGGGAGTTCACGCGGCACTGTAGGAACCTGGGTTTTTGCCTGCCTTCCGGCTACCCTGTGAGCTCCGTAATGTTGGCTTTTTCCCTGCTGTATTCCCAATCTCTGATACATAGTGGGCGCTCAATAAATGATGGTTGAATGAACGAATGAACGAATGCATGAACAAAGGACTGATTGATTCAGAGCTACTATTGTACCCCAAGTCTGCATTTATGAGACTAGACACAGAATAATGTGCAAATTTTGACAAATTTATTAAAAATCTGGAAGCCTGGGTCTTTGACTGTCCGACGCCAGTCACGGATAACAGTGCGAGGTCGCCTAGAGACCGGAGACAGCCCCTGAAACGCGGGAGGCGGAGCTTACGGCTCCTCCGACCACACCCCTTCGCGTTCAAATCCTTCCGCCTATGGACCCGCCCCCTTCAGCCCGAAATGCAACTCTAATTGGTGAGCTCTGTAATCCATCTGAGCTCTTCGACGTCTATTGGATCAACTACTGAACTCCGGTTGCGCACTTCCCGGTGTTGGGAACGCAGAGCGGACGTAGGCTTGCCGCCATTGCGCTGCGGGGAAATCGGCCGACGGTGTGAGGGGCTTTGGGGGTGCGTGAGGGGCTTCAAGGGCCGGGCTGCGGGGGGCGTGGTTGGATCGGGCTGAGTGGCCCGAGGGATTGGGCAGTACGCACTCTGAGCGAGGCGGGACTGCAGGCCGAAGTTCTCGACGTGTTCATGCTGCGCCTCTTGTAGGCCCGGGCCCTGTGGCTTGTTAATTTTTCCCTTCCGCCGCCCCCCAGATTCTCCGGGCATGGCCGGAGTATTTCCATACCGAGGGCCGGGTAACCCGGTGCCCGGCCCTCTAGCCCCGCTGCCGGACTACATGTCGGAGGAGAAGCTGCAGGAGAAAGGTGAAGAACGCGTGCCGGCCTGGATACTTGGGGGCGGGTGTGCGCGTGCGCGCAGCGGGTTTGAACCCTTTCCCCGTTTTGGCAAGTGTCAAAACGTTAGGTGTCAGTTCCCTTATTAGCCCCATTTATTTTTTCGTCTGATCAAGTCTTTAAAAGCGTCTGTTATTTGCAGGCACTGATCCAACCAATGGGGATACAATAGCGATGAAGACAAACTCCTGCCCTGATAAGGTTTAAATTGCAGTGAGGGAAATAGACAATAAAAACTTAAAAAAAAAAATCTGTAACAAAAACGTCAGGCAGTGATAAATGTGATGAAGGAAAAAATAAAGCGGAGTGAAATGACGAGAATTGGCAGGGAGCACTCCAGCTGTACGCACAGCTCTCCCTCATCCAGACAGGAGCTTACCCTAGGGCAAGAGGTGGGAATGATTAGGCTAAGGGTGTGCGGTCCTTTAAACTGAGGTGTCTTTGTAGCCCGGAAATGGCAGCAATTGCAAGCCAAGCGCTATGCAGAAAAGCGGAAGTTTGGATTTGTGGATGCTCAGAAGGAAGACATGCCCCCAGAGCATGTCAGGAAGATCATTCGAGACCATGGAGACATGACCAACAGGAAGTTTCGCCATGACAAAAGGGTCTACTTGGGGTAAGGAGCATCCTGGAATTATTTCATTTGGAGCTTGGCCCCTTTCCCTTCTCCCTATCTCATAGGTCGCAGTCCTGGATAGCTGCTCTGTCATTTTGGGACAGGCATCTTCTGTGACAGCCCATCTTGGTGGTTAGAAGAGGGAAAACCACTAGAATTCTGTGATAATTTCCAGATCTTCCAGTTATATTCTTTATTGCCCTAATTTTTCTTCTTGGTCTGGGACTGGAGCTTAATTTGTCCTGTTGGTGCTATGGTAAGATGTTCCTATTTTTGAATGGATTGGAGCCCAGAGCAGGACACTTTGTACATTCTTGTTGCCTGTAACTCCTCAGTGACCAGAATTCTGAGGTTCCGGATGTTTAACTCCTGAGGTGTCTATAATCTTGTTTTTCTCTGTCCCCAAGCTGATTGAGTATAGGTACAAATGCCTTAGCAAATCCCTTTTCTGTTTGGACACAAAAATGTTAGCCACTTAATGAGCTGGTCTAAGACAGACATGGAAGTTTTGTTTATTTCAAAAAAAAAAAAAAGTGTATATATATATGTTTTTTGAGAACTGTGCTAGGTGCTAGGGATATAGCAGTGAACAGGAAGTAATGGCCTTTTTGGAGCTTACGGTCTAGTGGCATGACAGATATGAGACAAATGGTTACAATAAAGTATGGCAAATATTGTATTATTATTTATGGGACGGTACAGAGAGAATAGAATGTGTGACAGCCTAAAAGCTGTCTTTAGAGGGACAGCTGTTGATTTAGAGGGACTGAAACCCAGTATTTTGGGACTGTGAAGTTTAAGAAGAAGAGTGACATAATTGGAGAGGGAGAGGCAGAGTTGCCGATCATGGCGGGCCTGTCTATGTTTGGGAGTTTGGACTGGGAGGCAGGGTTTTCCGTGGAACATGATACTATGGTACCGTGTGGCTTCTGTGCACGGCACAGGTAAAAGCTAACACTTTGTCATTTCTAATCATCTCTCTTCCTAACGTTGCAGTGCCCTAAAGTACATGCCCCATGCAGTCCTCAAGCTCCTGGAGAACATGCCTATGCCTTGGGAACAGATTCGAGATGTGCCTGTGCTGTACCACATCACTGGAGCCATTTCCTTTGTCAATGAGATTCCCTGGGTCATTGAGCCTGTCTACATCTCTCAGTGGGGGTGAGATAGTGCTGGAATATAACCATGTGTGGTGGTGGTGGTTGTGGGGCAGTGGGTAGAAACCATTGTGTGACATTGTTGGCTTCCAGGTCAATGTGGATCATGATGCGTCGAGAAAAAAGAGACAGGAGGCATTTCAAGAGGATGCGTTTCCCCCCTTTTGATGATGAAGAGCCGCCTTTGGACTATGCCGACAACATCCTAGATGTTGAGCCTTTGGAGGCCATTCAGCTAGAGTTGGACCCTGAGGAGGATGCCCCTGTGTTGGACTGGTTCTATGACCACCAGCCACTGAGGGACAGCCGGAAGTGAGTGACAGTTGGAGTTGACACTCCTGTGGGAGTTTTGGAAATCCACAAGGAGTTCTGGGAGAACAACGGGTAGTGTGGCTTGGCTAGCTGGTATACCTCCCTGATGCGGGCTCTTCTTTTTTTCCTAGGTATGTGAATGGCTCCACTTACCAGCGCTGGCAGTTCACGCTGCCCATGATGTCTACTCTCTACCGCCTGGCCAATCAGCTCCTTACAGACTTGGTGGATGACAACTACTTCTATCTGTTTGACCTGAAGGCGTTTTTTACCTCTAAAGCACTCAATATGGCCATTCCTGGAGGCCCCAAATTTGAACCTCTTGTTCGAGATATCAACCTACAGTAAGTTGGAGAGAATAGGCATTTTAGGCACCTTGGGTTGAATAAAATCTACTCTTGATCCTTAAGATCTCCTTGTAGCTTCCAAACTCTCCAACTAGTCTGCTCATCCTTGATTTTGTACCATAGGGATGAAGACTGGAATGAGTTTAATGATATTAACAAGATCATCATCCGGCAGCCTATCCGCACTGAATACAAGATTGCTTTTCCTTACTTGTACAACAACCTTCCACACCATGTCCACCTCACCTGGTGAGAGAGCTAGAACACAGCTGGGGGAAAGAAGGCTGGCATTTAGGTTGGGCCAGGGCAGGAGAACCTTGGCTGACTCTTCTTTCGTTTTAGGTACCACACCCCTAACGTTGTATTCATCAAAACGGAGGATCCTGATTTGCCAGCTTTCTACTTTGATCCTTTGATCAACCCAATTTCCCATAGGCACTCCGTCAAGGTGAGAGGAAGGGACATTTGACCTCAGCTCTTCCAAGAGAAATTTCCTGGCCATGGTTGAAGTGTTATTAGATAAAAGTGCAGCTAGAAGGGAGATGTGTTTTCCATCCTGTTAAGTGTTCCCCTTGAGCTATAAGCTAATTTCTTAGTTTGGCCTTGGTTCAAACTGAGTTATTGGTAATCTTGGTTTCTGTGATTGTCCGTCTGGGCTTTATCATTACTCCCTGGGTCTCTCTGTATAGTCTATTCTGGTCTGTTTCCATAGTGCTCTTTTTTCTTTAGTTCCTTCTGTTGAGGTATAATTCACATAGCATACAATTTACCCATTTAAAGTGTACATACAGTCCAGTGGTTTTTA